TATAAAAAACCAAACCGGGAACTGAGAGAGATAATCATTTGCAGTGAGTGTGCCACTAAGTGAAAATACTCTTACTGTTTCTAGTCAAGTAAGCCATTACTAATCTTTTAATGCACTTCACACATAATACAAACACAATACATTTTGTTCAGTTTAAAATTGTACTTTCTTCTTATGCACATAGTGTTTCCTAATAATAATAATTTCTAATGTGTTTTCATTGTAGCCCAATGAAATATCAGCAGCCTGCATTAACTCATCCGTGACAACTCCCCCACCAAAGGCAAGCAGTATAGTAGTCACAAGTGCCATCCTGTTATTGTGGCAGGCAGTAGGTCAAGCTGAAAAATGTCTTTATCATTGTGTTTCATTTTAGCCACTGTAAGACTCACACAACACTGCCACCATCAAGACAAATCTTTAACTGCTAACAGCATACAGTTTACAGGGTTCTTATTTAATACAATCAACCTGGATCTGCAGTGACTTTAAACTTTGTGTTTCAAATTATAGCTCAAATTATGACCTTGCATTGAAGACACAAGGTGATAAGTGAAATAGACTGATTGACATTGCGTACAACACAGAGAGCCTCATTCTGACACTGTTGTGTCTCCCTTCCCAATTTAATGGCAAATGCAAGAGGGGATTCAAAGGACAAAACATGAACTAATATAAGAGATGTTTATGGATATAATTCCATATGCAATACTACAGCCCCCCCACACACACACTTCTGCGTTAGCAGTTACTTCGGCTGAGATTTGCTAATCAGTGTCCATTCGTGTGCAGCTTAGCATAGCTCGATGTGAATATGTCAACAGTGGAGTGAGCTGTTGCCTTCAGCACCTCTCTATAGCACACAAAGATGCACAGAGCCAGACTTTTTAAATGTTTAGAACGAGAGGGGAGGGAAAACTCGCTGCATGAGTCACGTGATGTGGTTGGCTGTACTTTTGACTGTGCTGTCATGCACTTTGACCCACAGAATGAATACTTTGAAAGAAAGAACTGGACAAACACAA